CAAAAAATTAAAAAGAAATTAGCTTGTTTTTTTTGTGAGGGGCGGCAAGTATGAAGCTTGAACAAGCGTTTGAAATCAAAGAAACTAAGTCAACGGAGTCAATTTTCTAATTGAAGGAAACAAATCTATCTAGGATGATTTTTTCGAATTTCAAGTTAGTTTTACCCTGGACAATTTTTGACAGAGGCGAAGCTGCGCTTCGCAAACACTTCAGAGACCACGACCAAAAAGCAGCTCTATCAAGTGAAAGGAGAAAAGGTAGAAACGAGCCTCAAATTAGCGAGTCTAGGACAACAAGTCAACAGGACTTCAAGCTGAAGTACTGTTGGTACGATTTTTAATTTTTCGAAGTACTATCTTTCATCTCTAAAATGACAGTTTTTAAAAATTTGGGCATATATAGTCCATAACGAGCGTCATTCATGAAAATGCACTCCTTATGAATGGCATCCAAGAAGTACATCCGCCGGATTTTGAATTGAATAAGTTGTAATACTAAAAAACGCCTTCAACAATGTTTTGATATTTAAATTTTCTTAAGATCAAATAGTTTTATGTTTTAACAAACAGCCAAAACTAATAAAAAAAATCATGAAATGGAGAAATTCTTCAAACCAGTCTTCAAATTAATCCTTTTGTATGACTTTTTGAGAAAATGGAGAATGTTTGACCTGAAGTCCCTTCGACTTGATGTCCGGCATCCGATTTAGCAAAAACTCGGATACAAGTAGAATTCGAATCCGCGACCTATTGCAATATTTTGAGACTGAGGCACTATCCACTCAGCCACGCAAACTTAACAACCGTCAAACGCTAGTCACACAGCGGCGAAGTTCGCATATTAGGCAAAAGTATGACCAATAACGCTACTGGTAAAAATGAATGAAAAAAACTTTGAGTCTTTAAAATTTCTTAAGTGACGCAGGAGTCTACATTATCTATTATGAGTCTGCATCATTGCTAAGCAACGCAAGCTAATTATGGCACATTAGCAGTACCAGTCAATTTGAAATAAAAAGAAATACACCAACTAACATGCCTCAATTTATAGTGCGGACGCATTTTGACTAGTATAGGAAAAAGTTTATTAAAACATCCGACTCTGTCCAGGAGCAAACCCTCTTATTTTGTTGCGGATCTCCTTACCTACCTCTAAATTAAAGAATCATGATACCATGAAGCCTAAGTGCGATTTGTATTATAACAGTCCGTGTAAAAATCCTTAGCATTGGCTGTACTTAATAACTGGTTATTGATCAAAATGAAAACATTTTGTCGTAACAATATTTGCGCCGCAACAATATTTGCGACTTAGGATGGAAAAAAAGATAGTTCATAGTATAACACAAGCTATAGTATGAATAAATCAGCCACATATTCTAACAAGACTGATCAAATATCAGGGCAAAGCCCTGAATGTTCCAACTCTCCCTTAATTCATATCCAACAGTTTTCGGGACAAGAAAATATTGAAAACTGATAACTTTTGGACAATATCAAAGTGTGTATTTTTGAGTCGTACGAAATTAATACGACCAATTAGCTAGCCGGAATTCAATTTGGAACTATTTTTTTTTATACGAGATAATTCGCCACGCATAAATGATTTGCGTTACGCTCAGTATTATGAAAAAATTCTTCAAAGCGCGCATAATTTAGTCCAGAATTTAGCCAATTTATCAATTTTCAAACCCCCAGAATTTTACTTAAAATAAACGGAGGTGTAATATTTTTTTAATTTCAACGCAGGAACTCCATATCTTCAATGAGGTTAAAAAAAATTTTGTTGAAGACCATTATTCCGATCAGCGAAAACTGACTGAAAAAAAAACCACACCGAGCGTAAATATTCCGTTTTTTTGAACGTCAGAACAATAAATAGCCACTGCATTTCAACAACAGTGGCACTAAATACAAATAAACTCAAATTTGCATGTTATAATTTGGAATATAACAAACTGAAGGCATCGACACTAACTTTGCATGATACAAATTGCAAAGCATAAGGCCTCATCTATTATATATTTAAATGCGGGCTTCACTATCTCGCCATTTTTAAGCTTTTTCAACGTATTATTTTTGCATGCTTAAGCTATATCGTATATTGCAATGGTTAAGAGTTTTTTTTTCGATTTTCCAATTTGATTTTAGTGTTTCCCCTAGATCGAATTAGGGGTAAAAATTATCTGAAATTTCAAATAACAAAAAAATTTAAAAAACTCGAAGTTCCCAACCCTGTAGTTGGGCGCTGTCAGAGTACTCTAAGGAGTTACAAATCTTGCCTCCAAATATGACTGTTCAAATCCTTGTAGTTTTCGAGATATGACGGTTTTTGTGATTTTTTCAGAAAATTTTCAGAAAACATATAATTTTTTTTTCCGCAAAATCTGAAATTCCCAACCCTGTTGTTGGGTCTTGTCAGAGTAATCTCAAAGATTGCGAATCTTGCCTCTAAATATGACTGCTCAATTCTTTGTAGTTTTTGAGATATGACGTTTTTTCTGTGATTTTTTCAAAAGTTTTCAGAAAATTTTAATTAATTATTTCTCCAAATTTGAAAGTCCCAACCTTGTTGTTGGGTGCTGCCAGAGTACTCTAAGCAGTAACAAATCTTGCCTCCAAATATGACTGTTCAAATCCTTGTAGTTTTCGAGATATGACGTTTTTCTGTTATTTCAAAAAAAATTTCAGAAAACTTACATTAATTTTTTTTGCAAAATCTGAAATTCCCAACCCTGTTGTTGGGTCTTGTCAGAGTAATCTCAAAGATTGCGAATCTTGCCTCTAAATATGACTGCTCAATTCTTTGTAGTTTTCGAGATATGACGTTTTTTTGTGATTTTTTCAAAAGTTTTCAGAAAATTTTAATTAATTATTTCTCCAAATTTGAAAGTCCGAACCTTGTTGTTGGGTGCTGCCAGAGTACTCTAAGCAGTAACAAATCTTGCCTCCAAATATGACTGTTCAAATCCTTGTAGTTTTCGAGATATGACGTTTTTCTGTTATTTCAAAAAAAATTTCAGAAAACTTACATTAATTTTTTTTTGCAAAATCTTAAATTCCCAACCCTGTAGTTTGGTCCTGTCAGAGTAATCTCCAAGATTGCTACTCTTGCCTCCAAATATGACTGCTCATTTTTTGTAGTTTTCGAGATATGACGTTTTTTGTGATTTTTTCATAAATTTTTAGAAAACTTAAATTACTAATATTCTTTAAACATCTGAAATTCCCAACCTTGTAGTTAGCTCGTGTCAAAGTACTCTCAAGGATTGCGAATCTTGCCTCCAAAGATGACTGCTGAATTCTTTGTAGTTTTCGAGATGTGACGTTTTTTGTGATTTTTTCAGAAAGTTAAAATTAATTTTCGAAATTTGAAATTCCCAAAGCTATAGGTCGGTGTTGTCAGGTTACTCCAAAGAGTTGCAAATCTTGCCACATGCAAATGATAAACGCGACTGCTCAACTGCTTTTAGTTTCCGAGCTGTGACGTTTTTTGATTTTTCAAAATTTCTCAAAGAACTTATCTACAAAGAAATTCAAAACATTTGAAACTACCAGCTTCATGAAGATACAACTTTATTGTCAGCGTTCACCCAGGCGTCTCAAATCTTGCCTCTTAATATGAATGCTTAAATCCTTTTAGTTTCCGAGATAAGACGGTTTTTTTTAAATTTTTTTTTCCGGGAAACTTAGGTTTAAAAAAGTTCACAAAATTTTGGATTCCTTACCCTATAGTAGGGTGCTCTCAGGGACTCTGTGGTTGCAAATATGGCCTCCAAATTTCTCCAGAGGCCCATTAAGTTTTTGAGATGACGCTTTTAAAATGGGAATTGAAAAAAAAAATAAAGTTTGTAATTGGGTGCAGTCAGAGTACACTAAAAGTTGCAGATGTTGTTTCCAATATATGTGGTTTTTACTGAGTTGTCGAAAAATTTCGAAGCACCGAAAGTGCGTTAAACGACAAATGTTATGTATTAATTATGCATTTCAAAATAAGCGAGATATATTGCTAGAAAATCGAGTTTACATGATTGTTATTTGAAACAAATCGTTTTTTTTTTGGTTCAATTGATGAATTGAAAATGCAGCAACTGTGTTAACTGATTACTTTTCGAATGTCAAAGCACATGCTATAATTAAGCTGCAAGGTGCACCTAAAGTAGCACCAATATTTGCGACTTAGGCTGGAAAACATAGCCAACTGACAATTGGAAAAGAGTAATGAACGCGAGGAAACAAAAAAACTGACTTGTTTTATCAAAAACCTTCAACTAGTGAACTTCGAAAAAAATAGATGCCCTTAAAGCTCTTTGAGTTTGTAAATCAATTTATAGACACATTTGTTAAAAACTAACCGAATTTGACAAAACTGGATCAATAGCCAAACCTTTTATTTCGCTGCAAAATCTGATAATTAATTAAAATTTTCGAAACTATAAGTCGATCACGTTTTTTGTGACCTTAACACTTTTGCTGTTCGAGTGGCGTTTGCCTTTATTTTCATACCGCGAAAAATCACAATTCACACCGCAAAAAATCAAAATTGAGCGTGAACAAATTTTAAAGACTTTTTACTAAAGAAAACAGCAAGACCTATATAAGAGTACTCACTACGTTCATAACTATTAAAAAAACGGTTCGTACTAATACACTTGCTTCGCAAGTATAATAAACTGCTCTAATGACAAACTGCATAAACGTTTTTTTACGCTGGACTTTAAATGAACCACGTTGGGCCAAATTTAAATGCTGGAACATTTTGACCTGATCTTAAAAAATTAAAACTGGAAACAACAAAAGTCGTTAAAAAATCCATTTGGGAGGGTAGCATTAGATCTACCATCTACCAAAACGGTTAATCTAAGATCTGGTACCCCCTTTCCCCCACACACACGCACACTCATAATAAAACTTGAACAGCAACGATAGTCCGTCCACTCAGTGCTACTTGAACTGCATCCTGCTTCTTTTCAACTAAACGTTTCGATACTTCAAAAAAATCTGGACGTGAGATGAATTTATGCAACGAATAAACCAACAAGCAAATACGGGTAGTAGAATGTTTAAAACACGAGATACGTTCATAAATGGTTATCAATCCCAAGGAATTGAGCATCATTTTTACTGAGCATAATAAATAGGCAATTTAGTACAGTTTTTATCAAAATTCTTCGAAGCCATTAAATGACTCAATATCATCACACTGAACAAGCATTTGTTCTATCCAATTTTGATAGGGTATTTTCAATCAAAAGAACAAATCACTTGTTTGGTCACCATTAAAAACTCAAAACTCTCCATGGTATTGGCGGTTGTTTAATGTTTTGAATTTTCATAAAGTACAACTCCATTGATCTGATCATTTAAATAGGGAAGGTATAAATGAATAAATAGTTCAGTATGAATTGATCGAGGTTGCTTAGTTCTGTATTCAGTGAAACAAAATAAGATACACATTTTATTACAATGTACAACATATGTACACAACACGCTTTCTTTGAAACTAACTCCTGTTTAAATTAGACAAGAAAAGATCCAGCTAAATTATCAAAATTATCGTTTGGATCTTTCAATGTTCGTTGACTGCATTCTGTTTTCATGTTTCGGTAATAAACACTAGTTTAATCAGCATAATACATATTTATACTACAAAACAAAATCTGCGCTGAACAGTAATCACATTACAATAATACACTAGGTTATGTAGTAATAATACTGCAAGCAAATGAAGTGCTCTTGATTAAATAGACTATCAGTACTGTTTGGTATGAAATTCCAAAGTTCCAGGAAAACTGCAGTTTCATGACCCAATGTCCTTTCAGTGGTGGAAAATTAACTGCAGAAGATTTTCTTTCTTTACTCTTATTTTGCGAAATTTGGTCGAGGGGGGCAATGATGAAGACAGGGAAATAAAAACATCGCGAGACGGATCGTCTGGTGGTTTAAGTTAACAACTTACGTACACTTTTAACATTTTTACAGGTTTGTTTAAATTAATGCCAGCACCATCAATTCAAGTGATTAACATTGGACAGATGAATGAAAAAAGGTATCTATCATTATGAGATGACAATTAAATAGGGCCCGTTCAGATTTTAAAAACTTTCCACCAAGCATGCACATCAAAATTGGTATCAAGGGTTTGCAAAAAAAAGCCTCAAGCGGGTAAAGTAGTATACTATATAAAACTATAAGGCTATAAAGGACAGTTAAAGCAAAAATAGGGAAGACTTGGGTACTAAAACAGCAATAGGGTCTTCCAGCAAAGGAGCATTACATTACTTTAAGCACAAACTGCATGATTAACTTTACTTGGACAGATTTGGATTACATTAAATTTTGGATAGATGAACAAAAAATAACAGAGGGAAAGTTCGCGAGATGTTCCCGGAGAAAGAAAGCAAAGAATGCTATAAATAAGAGCAAAAAAAAATGTTTCAAGACAATTACTGCATATCAAACAAAAAAAAACAGTTCACATTCACGTACTATGTTAAATGTAAGTTTTTATGGTCTGTTTTTCGACCTCAATTCATACCTTCGTAAACCGTTCATCTTTTCTGTTTATCTTCATGACTGATAAAAGCGGTTAGTTCAGTCCGGCGTTTAAATTGAGCCCGATGCTGAATGCGCTGTTCACCTGCGACATATCAGATCCTCCGTGATGACTCAGCAAATCGTCCCCTCCTGGGACCAACCCACTATGCTTATTATAGTACTTTTCCATCTTAGCAATTATATGCTTTCCGTACGTGTATTTTCTCAGCATCGAAATGTGAGGTCGGATCTTGGCCATGAGAATCTTTCTCTGACTCGCTTCGGCAACGTCTATCATTTTTTGGACGACGTAGTTTGCGAACTGATCACGCATCATGGTACACAGTGCACTGTTTGCACCCTCGCCGTAGAGAACTTCTTCAATCAACATAGCTCTCTCGGGTCTGGAGGCGTGCACAACACACTTCTCGACGACGTTGCTGGCGAATTTGTGTTGGGCCAGCAACATCACTTTACCTCGCAACTCCTGCACTATTTTGCTCTTGTCCTCAGCACGTCCGTGCTCCAAAATATGCTGAAAATCAAGATAATTTTTGCATAACTCTCAAACACACTGTTGCAAATCCAAAAAACTGCCTTCATTCCTTCACACCACGACTAGCTGATATCTAGTGATGATGCCTTGTTAATAAACACAAATACTTAAATTTGATATGAATCAGGAAATCGAAAACTATCCGAACACTTGAATATATTATTTATCTTGAATATATATTAGGCCTCACCTGGATGACATAGTTTCCATATTGGTCCTGGACCAGCTTCTCAGTGTGGGCGTGTAACTCCTCCAAAATAGGCGCTGTCTGTTGGATGGTGCAGTGTTCTAGGATGCGCTGGATGACCCGGCAGCCATAAGGGTGCATGGACAGCTCTGTCACCTGATGAACAAAAACATCTGGTTTTAAACTGTATTTTACATAACTTGTCTGCTGCTAGTAAAATTTATTTGGTTCTCAATTTTTTGGTTGGTTCTTGATTTGTTTTCGGTGATTTTTAAGGCTAGGGGTACAAGTATAAAATGTGAGTCCCCAGAGAAAACAAGTGTGAAAGTTGGATCCCGTCATTTTTATGGAGAAGTCAAAAATGGAAGAATATAAATGCAACGCTGTTACTGGAGAACTGAAAGTTAAATTACCTCGGGTACCATCTATTTTTAGGAACCCAACAATCAAACCAATACCAATCCGAGTTCTAAGGCAACATCACACGGTCGTCAACTCACCTGTCCTGCAAATGCTCCGATGATGAACTGTAGAGCTCCTGGGTTCACGCCTTCAATGGCCTTCTGCACCACGTGGTTTCCATTCTGGTCTTTCACACACTTGATCACGTGTCCGTCCAACTCTCGGATCATCTCAATCTGGCGTTCTCGGCTGATGCAATCCAGAGCTTTCTGGATCACACGACATCCATACATCTGCAGGGCCAGCGGCAAAACATGTCCTGAAGCACAAATTATAATTTCAAACATCTCACATTTCAGAAGTCGATGCGAAAAAAATAACAACGCACAGCTCAGCACGGAAGATGTTGAATGGAAGAACTTTAATTTGGTCATAATAGACCTGAGATATCTGCTGTACAGTCTAGATTTTAAGGCTAAAGGACGCAATTTTGGACAAATTCGGACCGCCCTCAGTAAAAATTGCAATACAAAACAATGATTAAAAAGTTTATCAGTGTCTGTCACACACACCTCTGACTTTGTCGGCCAATATGTTCTTCTGCTCTTGGGTTCCGAATTCGAAGAATTTCTGGATGACGTAGTTTCCAAACACGTCCGTCATGAGACTGTAGGCACTGCTGATGATCTCATTGAACACCAGCTGCTTCTCACTATTCGAAGCACGCTCCAATTTTTGCTGAATGAACCTACAACACGAATTATAATGAAGCTGCAAACTTTCCCCGATCTCAATTTTTATAGGGACCAATAAAGTTGGCCTTCAATAGGCACTGCTCATAAAATGCCTCTCCTTGTCCAGTCCTGTCCTGTCAATTCAAACAGACGACTACCTAACATCTGGCAATCAGATCGAAAAAGCGACCTCGAAAGAAAGCTTCAACTGACCTGGATCCGTGCTGGTCCTGGGTGAACTCTGCGATGTGTCCGGGTAGATCCTTCAGCTGTAGATGAGGCAGTCGGTTGTTCCTGAAGTCCTCAAGCAACCTGCTCCTCATCAGACCATTGTTTCCCACAGTTCCTGCCAGTTGAACTTGACTCCCCAGTTTGTCCCCTCCCCCGTACCCTCCTGCACCCCTCAGTCCTCTGGCTCCACTGCTGAACAGGGAGTTTGGGGAGTTGAAGAGGTTGGAGCTGCCACTGCGGTACTTCGCTTCTGCTCCTGGGGCTAAATGAACTGTTTATTTAGGATGGCAGCTATTCGCTGAAAACTTCGCTTTTTAAATTCTATTATCGCACTTCTTACGCTATAAATGCGCTTCATCGGAGTAAGGAGTGGTTTTTATCTTGGACCTAAAATTTGCATGGAGCATAAAATTTTAACTACGGTCATATCTTTCTCAATTAATGTGCTGCATTTGCAAAGGATTTCTTTTAGATTTTTTTAGAAGAATAAAGTTTTCTTGCGAGCTTGGGTTAAATGGATGTATTTTGTGTCCATTAGCAGCCCATCCATAAACTTTTCTACGTTAGATTTAGAAAGATAAAAAAAAAAGAGGCATAGAATTACTCACCCAAATTAATGGGAGAGGAGGCGGGAGAAAACTCAGTAGGCGAAGTGCTGTACAAATCATGTCTCAACATATCATCAAATGTAGGTGAGTGGGAAGAGTACAGTTTAGTGTTAGTGTCGGAATAGTAGCTATTCGAGTTACGTCCACCGCCACCAAAGCCGCGACTCGGAGGCGGCGGAGACGGAGCACTTCCAATTGTCGAGGGGTGGTATCGGGTCGCCCCTTGATGTCCAGTATTCACGTGATGACTGTTCGAGCGTCTCGAGTGCTCGTTGGATGAGAAAAAGTTGTGAGACGAAAAGACATCTGTAGAAAGAAGAGAAACATTTAGGTTATGTTGTTGAACAAATTGATTAGTTTCAGTATGAATGAATGTTTGAATTTACACATCCTATAATGATTTCACGTTTATCACAGACAACTTACTTTTTTGTAATTATTTGGTACCCAATTTCAGGAAAAACTCGAATTTTCATTAATGCTTGAAACTAACCAGTCGATATTAAAAAGTAACAATTAGAGACAGAAGTTAGTTAACTGCTTTACCTGACGTGTCCTCTAAGAAAGGCGAGGGCACGGCAGACGCGTTAGCGAAAGCAGTGATTGCTCTCTGTTCGTTCTTGTATTTCGTCGTTGGCGACAGCAGTCGCGGGGGCGGTGAATTTACTCTCGATGACATCACAGATATCGTATCGTCCGAGAAGCGTCGTGACCGAGATATCATTGGACTCTCGTTAGTCGCTCGGGTGGCGCTGAAAAACGAGGGCAGCTGTTCAACAAGATTCCTCGCATCCAGTTCATCCGATATCGCTGCTTTGGACGAGAACACTTCGTCGTCGTAAATCCGATTTCCAGTTGCTGACTTGAAGGCATCGTGCGCTCTTCGAATCGACAATTCATTCTCATGATTCACTTCCTTATTGTTTTTAACAACGTTATTGTTTGTTTCTGTGTTTGGAGACACGTGATTATCTTCTCTTTGATTGTTCGAGTTCGAATTTGTATTCGAAGTTACAGTTAGACCATTAGTAGATACTACTGCTAGTCCACCTGTAGAAATTGACAGTCATAGATTAGAAAAGAGTCACAAATACAATTTGGAGTCAGTAAGGAAAGAAAACAATTTGGCTTGTTAATGGAAAGAAAATAACTTAAAACAGCTTAAGTTATTTATTTCTTACAATTTGAGAGAACATATTGTTAGCATGTTGTAATGCTCAAAATTATTTTATAGAAAGTTATTGCTTGATGTTGGTTAGTTTTTCAAACATACCTCCAGCGAGCGAACTCAACAAGGGTAGCATCCTCAAAGCTGCTGCTGGATCCCTTTGATTATTCGGAGGCAATGCCAAAACTAGCTGTCCAGTTGCATCATAGTAAGCCGGAGTAGGTGCCAATAGCTGGAACCCTGGCGCTCCTAGAGACATCAAGGATCCGTTGTTTCCATTCTGAACCTGATTATTCTGTTCGCTCTGGCTTCCCTGATTCGCCACTTGATTGTTCTGGTTCCCAGCATTATTCTGTCCATTAGCTGCGTTTTGTTGCAGCATTTGAGGGTACATGAACGGCAGGTTATAGCCTCCCCCGTTGTACGGGTTCAGGAACTGCGATCCTGCAACCTGAGCCAAAGCGTAGGGGTCAGCAAACAAGTAGGGGTTCAAGGCAGCTGCTAGAGCTGCAGCTGAATTCTGGTTTGCGTTCGAGTTGTTGTTCTGGTTCGGGCCAGAGGCACCGTTGGCAGGAGGAGTTGGATTGTTCTGTCCGTTTACAACTGCCATCGCCTGAGCTATAAGACAAAGAATCTACATGAGTATTATTATACTACAAAAAGATGGGGATCTTTAGACAGCAAAATTGTCAATATCATACTCACAACTACTTCCGAGATAAAACTCGACGGTGACACAGATCAGCCAAGGCAAATAAACGTTATCATGCAGTCCCAATTCTTCAAAAAAGAAAGCTGTCTAAATTTGCTCCTACATTTTACATCTTCCCTACTATTTAGTCTTCATCTAAGTTATGTTTTCCAAAACTGATTTTTTAAAGAACTTCTTCAGAAAGCTTACCCAGTATGTTTTGCTGCTGTTGACTCTGCAAAGCTGCCATAGCCATTGCGTATTGCTGTTGGGTGCTCATGTGCGCATTGTTCTGGGAGTGGTTGTTCAGCGCGGGTGGAGGGACCAATCCGTTCTGCTGTTGATTCGGGTTCTGCTGGACCATCTGCCGAAGAAGCTGCATAATGAAACGAAAGGCTATTGCAACTAACGGCAATGAATTATAAGAGTTTCAGACGATAGCCTGCAGCATGTATCACACTTTGTGCTCGTTTTTTGTGTAGTTTCAAGAATTTTGGGCTGTTGGTGAATTTCAACTACTTTGGATACAATATACTAGATAAGGGATGCAGAAAACAAGAAATGATGCGCTATTTGGTATCTCAAATTTGAGTCGTTTTCTCCAAAAAGCGTCATTCATACATGCTATTCGAGTGCCTCGAACTTTATTGTTGAACAGAAGCTTCTTTCGATATAAACTCAATTCAGCTCGCGCGTTATCATAAATTGATCACAGAAATCTGGAAAAATTCGAATAGACAAAGTCAAAAATTGTAGCATGCTCTTGCGAAATTTCGGCTAATTGAGAAGAGCTTTGCATGGAAAGTTGATGTTTGCATGCTCTATATAATTCATGCCAAATTGTTGGCAATACCCTTTTCGGTCAAAGAATCTGATAGAGAATTGCAAAAAGTTGGAACAGACCGAATTATTTTCAAAAAGAGCAAATGACCTATTTCAGAAAACTTTTGCATGCAAAAGCTAACTTTTTAGACAGAAAATACGACTCAAGGACATCTAGAAACTCATGCAAAAGTAATTGACAGATTGCTTTTTCAAATTTTGCTGTCTGTTGCAACTTTTTGCTGCTAATTTTAATTAAACTAAAACTGCTCTTTTAGGCGGTATGGATCAATTCTTCACTCATTTCAGCGCGTGTCAAAACATTTAAGTAACCTCAAAATAACAGTTTCATGGACAATTAATTTGCTCAAGGTCACCAATATTACCAACAATGACTCAATACCTATAAATGATAGTAATAGTTGCAAAATGTTGGAACAGACGAAATTAATTAGGAGCAATCTGTCAATTTCGAACAAAATTTGGGTGTTATCTTTAATTTCAAAGCTGCCTTGAGACAGATTCTTTGACTGGAAAACTAGCGCTTGCATGCAAAAATTGTCTGAAATAGGTAATTTGCTCTCAAATTAATTTGGTCACTATATTAGGTGGCATAGACTACGTCTAGACAAAATGAATTCAATGACAAAATAAAAATTTGATAAATAGTACTCAGGTTTCAAGGCTACTTGCATGAATTTAACCGTTCCTATCTATATTTAATGCCAAATTGTTGGCAATATCGGAGACCTTGAGCAGTTTTTAATCGGTCAAAAACTGTAGCATTTTTGGTTGATTAATTTTTCGGAAAACGTTTTAACATTTGGAAATCTGTTAAGATGAAATTAGACGACAAAATGAGCAGCTGTAGGTTAATTAACTTTGATGAAGTAAAAAGAGCAATCTACTAACTTTGAGCAATTTTTGCATGTAAATTTGAGTTTTAGGTGAGCTTGAATCATATTTGTTGTCTGAAAAATTAGCTTTTGCATGTAAAAGTTTTCTGGATTACGCCATAAAAGTTTTAATTAATTTTGTATGTTCCAGCTTTTGGCAACCCTCTATTTTAGGAGTTGCAAAAAATTCGAACAGGCAGAATATGTATGTCCGAATGAAAAATTAGCTTTTGCAAGTAAAATATCTTTCGAAATATATCAAACACTCTTTTCTAAATAGTTTTGTCTGTCCAAACTTTTTGCTAATAATTAACATAGTCAATAGATGGTTGAAAATGCAAAAGAAAAAAAATAGATAGTTATAGATAGTTTTTTGCATCACTTAAAACGTAATAAAAAGTTGAAACAAATAAATAGCTAAGAAGAACAAATAACTTAGTTCAGAAATCTTGGACATGTATGTTCGTAAATGGCAGATGGGTCTTTATAGTATAATTAATTTAATCTGTTTCGATTTTTTGCAACTTAGAGATAATTGATTAAATGTGAAACAAAAGAGTATAATAATCTACAAATGATCTTCTTGCTTGTAAAAACTTGTAGGTTTACTTGCTCTTTTACTTTTTCTTTCCAAAACCGGCCTCAGAACTTAAATTCAGTCTTTTTATTCTTTTCATTTTGCTGCTGTTAGTCAGTGTTCTTATAATCAAAAATCATAAAATTGAGAAATATGTTTTCTAAATTGGTTTACAGTGTTAATGACCAAAGGTAGAAATAAATTTTAATTACAAAATAGAAATAAGTCTCGAAGAAAAAAATTCAAATTTGAAAAATAACATTCATAAAAACGGCTTGATAACAGAAATTCTAGAGAAGTAAAAGATCGGAAAAAAAAATCCAGCGAATCTCCCCACGACCGGAATTGAAAAGCAAAGCTTCTTTAACAAACTTCAAAACGTAGAAATGGCGATCAACTTAAACAACTGCGCAGTTTTCAAACCAGAGAGTGGGCAGCGATGAACATTTAAAAAAAAGATAAAGTCAGTTGCAAAAGCTGGTCAATGAAATCCAGAAAGTGAATTAAAAAACTAAAAGTTTTTGAAGGTTTCTTTAAAAAAACATATACGGCCTTGAAGCTCTTTGAAACTAAAGAATCTATTTCAATAAATTTAGTTTGAGAAAAGTGAAAGATTAGTCAAACTTCTTTTTTCTAAATATAGCAAACAGAGTATGAAATGAGCCACTGAACGCAAGTAAACTTCCAATTCTACAAGTAAAAAATATATGTCCTCAAAGCTTTTTGAATCTCAAGAACAATTTTTGATTTACACTTTTTTCATTAAAAAGAACTCAATTTGAAAAAAAAAAGATAAAATCAGTTGCAAAAGTGCGTCAATGAAATCCAGAAGGTAAATTTAAAAACTAAAAGTTTTTGAAGGTTTCTTTTAAAAAACATACGGCCTTGAAGTTCTTTGAAACTAAAGAATCTTTTCAGATTAAATTTATCTATTTCAATAAATTTAGTTCGAGAAAACTGAAAGATTAGTCAAACTTCTTTTTTCTAAATTACAGCAAACAGAGTATGAAATGAGTCACTGAACGCAAGTAAACTTCCAATTCTACAAGTAAAAAAATATGGCTTCAAAGCTTTTTGAATTTCAAGAACAATTTTTGATTTACACTTTTTTCACGACAAAAGCAGCTCTATAGAGTGCAATAAAAAAGTAGAAATAAGCCTCGAATTAGTAAAAATTCGGCTACCTGTTGGGTTTGAACCTGCGACCTTGAGACTATGAGTCTGACACACAAACTACTCAGCCACGAACGCTTAATATGATTCAAATACTAGCCACAAATAAAGCAGAGAACAGGTGCTATGCAATTTCCAATGCTACAGTGAAATTTTCAAACAAGCGAACACTTTTATTTGCGAGTTGGGTTAGAAAAAAAAGAAGGTTCATAATAATACACTACGCTGATAATACAGTTTAATTTGCGGGTTAGGTTAGAAAAAAAGGTTCGTAATAATACACGACGCTAATTGCTAGTGTAAAAATGTTGGGAAATCATATTTCTTTGCTTCCTTAAGTGAAAAAAAAAACGGACCCACCTGGTTTTGATACTCCTGGAACAGGTGCGAATCCATTCCGACTTGAGGGTAGTCAAATCCTTGCTGCTCATTCCCATTTCCCGACTCATTAGCAGCGGCATTGTCAGTCCCCGCTAGGTTCCGAGTGGCCGGTGCTTCCGAGAGATTACTCTCTGGCGATGCGGCAGCAGCTCCATCAATTGAGGCGGTTGCGCCTGCAGGCTGAGCACTTTGAGAGCCTTGAGTGAAGTCGTTTTTCGCTGCATCATTCGCAAATTCATCAGGAGTTGCCGCACTTTCAGGTCTAGTCACATGGACGTTACCACCGTTGTCTGCTCTGTTGAAAGTCATTCCACTGCCACTGTGGTTCAACGATGATTCCGACTCGAATTCGTTATTCTGATTGTTTGGTTCTTTCGAGGGCGTGGCGCTTCCATTCTGGTATGTCGAGGGCTCTTCATGATTCTCCCCGCCATTAGCACTGTTTCCATTCACAGCAGCACTTGCGTCCTAAAATCAGAGAGGGTCAATCAAAGCTAGGAAACCGAAAAAACTGATTGACATTTTCAGCTTTCAAATTTCGAAGAAAAACACAGATCACGTTAGCGCTCTTTGAATCAGGAACGAATTTAGCAAGGGGAGCGCGAGATTCGGAGATCCTACCACCTCGCCACTCTAAGGGTCCACCCTTTGATACTATTTTGCGACATCCATTTTGATACGACCGACCCTAAACTTTTTGTAAAGGTGCTAATATATACTAATTTTGAGTGGGAGCGCGCACCAAATAAAACACAATTTTTTGAGCAACATATTCCAAAAAAAAGCCAAAAACGGCACTTATGGCCTCTTTATGCCAAAGGCGCAAGAAGTTTTGCTAGAAGAGAGTCTTTCTGGAGCGCCCGGGAGATCAATTTGATGGACCTGAAAAAAGGTCGACAAAAATTTTTGTCGCCCCCTTGAGAAAATCCTTGTTCTTGATTGATTTTTAAGACCATTTATCCACGAGGGAAATGACCAACATACGAGCTGCACAGCTCATCATGGCGAACCGTAGTTGGTGATTAAGAACTATATTCAATTTTTTTTTGGGCTGGGTAATGTTGCCTAACCCTCAAGCAACGAGCTTGGATCATGGTGGGCCGCACCTGCTTAGAATTGTACGAGTCTTTTATGGTTGACATGACACCTTAGCATAAAACTAACCTTATAAGAAAAACTGGGTCAAAAGGTTTTTTTTATATATTCCGGCAGGGAAATCTTAAAAAATTGAAACTAAAAGTCACCCAGTTTTTACGCACCCTGTGCTCTTTCATAATTGGGGAGCCTACTTTGCCTGCTTTTTAGCCAGATAGTTTGAACCGAACTTATGAAATCAAAACTCAAACCGCAAAAAAAATCAAGTTTGCGTGTGAACTTCCAGAATTTTATCTAAAAACTCTAATTACGTGTTTTTCTAAAAAAAATCTAAATAAGTTCAATGAAACTACAAAAATATTGAACTATTTTATTTTAACTTTTATTAAAATTTTGCAAAAACAATAAACCAAAATCAGGGTTTCGAAATTGAACTTACTTTCTGTGATTCTTCTGTTACAGCATTAACCATTTTGACAAAAATGATAATCTATCAAAATTTGGAGAGAAAGCAAAAATCAACAGATTTTCAGGTTAAATTTCAGGTTAAAAGAGGGCTAACTTTCTTTTCCAGAGGATTTCAATATATTCACATATGAATAATATACACAATTAATGAAACACGCCAATATTTATATGTTTAATGGTTTTTGCAGTGAAAGCAAGTTTAATTCGCGATATTTTTGTACAACTTTATCTACAGAAAAGCTCAAGAAAAGTGAATGAAAAAGTAAAAACTTGATTTTGCTTGTATTATTTTTTTCGCGATTCGAGATTAACATGATACGCACAAACAAGAAACCAGTTTAATATGTATTCGTAATTAGCTTCACTTTTATTTAAATTACTCATTCAGGTATTATTATGAAGTTATCTCACAAAAAAGGGGCTTGATTGCCAAAAATTCAAAACTATACGTAAGAACTAGAAGCTTTCTGACGTAAAACATATCTGTTACACGTCAACTTGCTTTGTTTTGACAAAAACAGACCATTTCTGGTACACAACACCATTTAACAACTTTTTTCGCTCATAAAAACATTGACGCATTACATTTTTATCGCCAAAAACACTGTCCCAATACGCGCACGCTTAAGTTTGAAACTTAAAAAAACGCTGGAACTTTGAAAATTTTCCATTTTCTACAACGATGAAATGATGAAGTTGGACTTTTTAAGTCGATGTTTCATATGCTATACAGTTGTTTCATATGGTAATAACTAAGGTTTACGTCAGGTGGGGGAGGGGGTATGACTCACTTGACAGTCAGTTCCGCCGTCGTTGTTCATGGCAGACGGAAGCGTCATTCCCATTCCCATCAGTGCCGCCGCCAAGTCACCGCCAGAGGCTCCGCTTTGCGCTTGCAGCATACTCGCTAGCAGATTCATGCTATTGTTTCCTGCTGCAGCACCGCCCATCATATTGTTCGTACTCTGAGCACCCGAAATAGCGCCAAAAATAGCCGGGTTAAGAGATGACAGAATTCTTTGCTGTGCTGCAACAGCGTTTGCGTACTCCTCCAACGCAGATTGCTGTTGAGGAGTCAAACCTAGCAAAGACGGCAACTTATTCTGCTGAGGTTGGTTAGCGGATCCCGCTTTGGCAGCGCTGTTAACATTTTGATGACTACTTTGCGAGTGTTCGGCACTGGAATTACTGTTCATCTGGAGTTGATTTTGCTGCATTTGAGATGTCGGGGAATTTTCCAGCTGTGGCTGAGAGACCTGGAAACCTCTTCCGTTTGATGGCTGCGACGAAAAAAGAGAGTTCAAACCAGCAGACTGTTGTTGTCCCTTGTTCAGTGCTGCATACCCATTGGTTGTGATGCTCGTGTTAGTTTGCTGAGCGTTTGATGAGAAGAGAGCGGCGGCCATCGATGGCAGCTGTGATGCGATTGAATTGCTGTTTAGGCTTAGAGACGCTTCGGTTAGTTGGGCAGGTGTGAATGTTTGCTGCTGTTGTTTTGATGACGGAGATGACTGCACGAGGTTGGGCGAAGCGGAGGGGTTGTTTGATACACCTTGAGGAGGAGAGTTGAATGATGACGTCAACACATTTGCAAGAAACGCATTCTGCAGATTCGTCTAAAACGTAATGCTTCAGCTTCAGTCAAGGAAGAGTTTATTGTGCTTATGACTTTTGCTGAACTTCAAAATAGCTTATTTAATAAATAAGCAAGATTGAGATTGAATTAAGATAAAATTTAGCGTTTTCGAAGGATAAATTCCACTTTTCAGTCCCATTTTGAAAAATTTAGGGAAAAAAATAATTTAAATACTTTATAATAACCATTTTGATTTTCCAATTGCGATAAAGACAAACTGACAAGTTTCGCACTAGTGAAGGTCGACAGCAAAGTGATCACATTGCAACTATCATAGCCAAATAACCAATTTAGTCAGCTTTAGTAGCAACATATTTGGTATAATTGCGTACTAGCTATCGATTTGTTCTAAGCTCCGAAGCCTTGCCTTACACGCTGAATTTTATACATTCATTTTATCATTTCAGAAAGATTAATTCAACCACAAAATTTCAAATGAAATCTGTGAATTTAGCGTCCAAAGATCGCACAATTTGCTAGACGCATTACATGCAATGAAAGATAATAACTCAGTTCTCGTTCTCCTATGGCAATATCGATATGATATTATCTTTATAATATTTTTAAACAAAAAAATCAAAGCTCGAAAGCTTAATAAAAATTGTCTTTCTCTTTAAATGGATCCTAAAATTACAACGAGACTGCTCGTATCAGGGCGAGCCCTGAATGTTTCCATTGCTTTTTAAATCCTATGGATTCATATTCGCTATAAAAAAACTGAATTTTCCGAGAAAAAAAATGTAATTTTTGAAAGAAAAATTTCGAGATTTTTTTGTGCAAACCATCCCCCTACTCGCCATATAATATGAAATAAAATAAAATAATAACTAGACTTCGCTTCTAGTAACGTAATAATTAAGACAAAAAACAACTTCAACCAATTTGGTACGATTTCTAAGCCAAGACTTGTTAAATCTCCGCGTTAATAGCGCGAAATAGATCGCGCGTTAATTGTCCCAAATTGGCAATATTGGGCAATCTTTAAACCCCATAACTTTACGAAAAATGATCACACACAGGTGAATAATCTTTGTAAATTTGAGCACAAGAGTACCTTTCGAAAGATATTTTTACTAGTTAAAAATTGCTAGTTAAAAAGTCGTTATTTGTCTGGAGAAAAAAATATTCCGTATAGCACAAATATATCGTAATTTTCCTCGAAAATATTTGGATCAATAATTTCTGGATAGATCTGAAAACAATTCCTCGCTTAACGAATACTTGTTTTGTACTACATGTTTCACGTTACTACGACTATGGTGAAACATTAGATCTACATAAATTGTAAGATTCAGTTGGAATATGATAACTAATTAAAAATCATCAAGTAATTCAAGTCATGGGCAAGCCACAAAAGGTGTCTTTGTCTTTTTTTATTGAGGTATCATAAAAAAATACTCGACCAAGAAATGCAAAATGAATTCTAAGAGTGAACGACAAAAGCCATGTTATAACTAAAATCAAATTAGACAAACGACTCAAGACAATTCAGCAAAATAAGACCATAGGCTTAAGTGTATTAGCACAGAGTAGTTTCATTTCATGCCTATGGCTTCTCGTGATGTTGCATCAGAAATAGCAGAAATATTGAAAAAAAAACTTACTGAAACGCTGTTAATGTCCTGTTTATCAGGACTAGACTGGAAGTAACTAGGAGCAATGTATGTAAGAAACAAACAGGGAAAATGGTTGAGCGGTTGTTGGTTTCAGTTGCTTGGCTTGGTTCACAAATCCCAACTGACTTTGGAACAAATGTTCATATTAAAGTCGATTTTAGTCGTTCACTTGAAGTTATTATAGCCCCAAACTATTTATGATAGTGCGACCACTTGGGAGCGAGATTATTTGGAACAAGCACGCAGGGAAGAAATGGAATAATATAATGCCTCCAAATGCACGATCTGAAATTCTGCCTGTGCAATTTATTTATGAAATTCGAGATATATATAAGAGCTCCCTGTAGCGCCTACAAGACCACAAAACAAGCAATTACACTATCAGGTCTAACAATGACTCCATTTTATCAATACATGGTTATCGAATTAGGCAGGAAAATGCAGCATAATCACTTGTCACTTAGATACTTACTTCCTTACTCATGGTCCAAAAGTTGCGCGATAATTCATACTAATTACTCAACTGCGTCATTTAAGAGAAATTGATCAAAATTTCAAAGCACATTCAATTTGCAATTACAATTTCAGAGAGCTACTAAAAATGAATTTGAGATAATTATCTCAATAAAATAGAGGAAAATTTAAATTCAAAGCAGAGCCAACAAACTCAGAAAATTTCAAGGATACTGCTCAAAAAATCTTTCATGTATGAACTTTAAAAAAAAATTTATCCAGTTTGAGAAAACTGGACAATTAGGTAAACTTTTTCGCCGTTGCCTATTATTTTTATAATTTGAGAGCGCAATTTGCAAGCAAGTTAATATAGAAGCAAATAAAGAAATCAGAGTTCAAATCGCGAAAATTCAAACTTGAGCGTGAACAACTTTCTCAAGACTTTATCCTGAAAAGAAAACGAACTCAAAACCATATGACTTAGATGGATAAGTCTTCACTTTGCTTGTTAACACTTACTAAATTCAAAAATTAGACCAATTTATGGGAAATTTAAATGAAATGGCAGGCAAAATGGATCTACTTAACAATCTCCCCCTAACAATTCGCACTTGAGCGTTTTCTGTAAATTCGAATTTTGCTGCATTTTGATCAGTCGAAAATTCGCTGCAATTAATCTACTTAACAATCACCCCCCATTCTTGAAAGGGGGGAGATTGTTAAGTAGATCCGGCAAAATTTTAAGACGGCCACGATTCAGGCCATTCAGTCACCATCTGTTCTAGTAATAGACAGGAATCTATTATGGTGTCTGTAAACTTAGTTTAACTCCATAATTCACCTTGGCATTATAAAGCAACACAGCGCAGAGAAATTCCGCAAACACAGTTCAAGACATATTCGCATACAACGTTATTCGCTCTCATGACTTCCGAAATGAGACAAATGTAAATTTACACAGAGGCAAAGACAGATAGCGAAAAAAGCTGAGATGGAAATAACTAGTCGAAAAAAAAAATTGAAAACTGACATTTTTTGGAATTAATGAAAATTCTTTTTCAGACAGAGGCGAAGCCGAGCATCGCACCACTTGCGATACAAAACAAGGAAGCGGCAACATGTCGGGAAAAAAAATCAAAATTGTCGAGAAAACTAAATATATCGAGATGATTTGGCCTACTTTTGAAACAAAAACGTACAACACAAAAATGCACAATTATTTTTTTCAATCAACTACAACACACAAACTTTTTTTCGCGGGTCAAAGGAAACAATATAATGCGACTAAGCCGATAGAGTATTGGCCGATACCTATTAAGCTGAAAAAAAAATTTTAAAAAAAAACAAAAAGTTATCAAGTACCCCTCACCCTCAAAACACACATCCTCACGCAAAAAAAAAACGTTATTCGCTCGAAAAGCAAAACAATATGAGCCTAATAAGCCAGTGTAAAGTGGGCGAAACCTATTAAGCTGAATAAAAATTTTAAAAAATAATAAAAAAAATACGACTAGTTAAAAGTTATTCTCCCGCACCCTCAAAACACAGACACTCGAAGGAAAAACCATATTCGCACGCACGCACAAAATTTTTTTTATCGCTTGTCGAACGACACAATAAGAGGCCACTGAACCGATATAATTTAGGCCAAAACCTATCAAGCCAAAAAAAGGAAAAGGACAGAAAACAAAAAATTAAATTTTAACAAATTGAGTTGTTAAAATTACAACCAACATAAAAAGATAAATTGGTATAGGACAGATATTTTAAATGCTAACATGCAAAGAAAATTAAGGTTTCAAAAAAATGAGTCCAAATGAACAGAGAGAGTCCTGTGCCTAAAGTTATTTAAGGGAAAAAATCTAGTACCCAGTTGCAATACCCTTGCTTATCGCAAGGGTGATAAACAGTCGCGCAATGCAACCACCAGCATTAAATAAGCTTCTAGTTTTTACCGTGTGGCTACTAAGCCTAAAATTTGTCGGTAGACATCCATTGAGCCGAAAACAGGAAAAAAAACGCTATAAAAATTGTCGTTTTTTTCCCTTCAAACAACACACAATCAGTTCACTAGGCCAATAAAAAAACCAAATTTATTTGAGCTAAAAAATGTATAGTAAATCAATTTCTGGGCGAAAAAAATGTATACTAAATAAGAGAGTAACCTTACAAACTACAGAAGTACATCAACACTTGCAACTACAAATTAAGAAGCTGACAGCATCAGAACAATCAGTGATGTTGCAACTAAGCCGACTAAACATAAGCAGACAAATGAACTACGGGACTCCAACCGCAGACCCTAGGGTGCAAACTGAACCGCGTTACCCTAGGGTTCAAAACCAACCGCTTCCTCTATATTGTAAGTTGACAATGGCTCTCGAAAGTATAAAAGAAACAATAGCCGGTTACAATGCAAGTAGAACCGAACGATCAGACCAAATTGACTGAAAAACGAAATTCAAAAAAAAAATTTTTTTTTCATCAAGCAATTGTTCTTGTCTGGTCTTCTTCTTTTTATTATTCCTGGACAATGCAAATGCACTGAGTGAAAAAGCAAGAAAAAGATGTAACTGTAATCAATACATTGCGTTACAACTCTAGTAGAACAAAAATAAGATGGTCAGCTTTTCAACAAATTTCGTCTAATTTAATCTGAAAATAAGAAAACAGACTAGTTTTTCTTTACAGCAAGGCAACTTTTTTGATTTTTTTAGAAGCGGGATCATGACAAGAAGACTTTAAAATGATACCAAATATGGCCCGTACAAGCTTTCTTTGAGGCAGTCACAAATTTCAGAAAAAAAAATTTAGGTCAGCTAAGCAAAAATCAAACAAGCCAAAAAAACCAAGCTGAATGAAAATTTTGAAACTTCGCTCGAATTACGACTTAGATAGCTCTCATATGATATATGACTCAATCTTTTCTTTACCAATTAACTTTCATATTTTAAAAAATTAACTTAAAAAGACAAGTTCCTCCCCACTTTCAGAAACATCAGGTCAAAAAACACAACTTACAGACACTTGGACAAAAGCTAAAATAGAGGCGAAGCTGTAATTCGCAAACACAAGAGAAAAATCACAAACATAGCCAACTGAGGGTATAAAAAGTAAAGAACGCAAGAAAACAGAATCAAGACTCGACTTGATTATGATTGACAATTTTTTCATAAAATTTACCCAATTTGAGAAAACTGGATAAATAGCTTAAAATTTTATTTCGCTAGGAACTCTACTTGCAAACCTTGAAGTCGATCACGTTATTCGCGACATTTCATTTTCGTTCCATTTTTTGATAGTGCAGTTTGTCCGCCTTTAAAAAACGAAATGAACTAAATTTAAGAAGATATCAAAGGTCAAAAAGCGAAATTTTAAGAATTTTTGCCGAAACAAAACAAACAAATAAAAAAACACCAAAACCTAAATAAGAGTCTTCACTGCGTTCATTATTCTAAAAAAGCAGTTCCAAAAAGAGAAGCAAAAGGTAAAAATAGGCCATGAATAAGAAAACTTTCACCAGGTATAGGATTTCAACCTCCAACCTTTAGATTTGGAGTCCCAAGTCCTCGCATCTGCACCACGGGCCCAAGCTTTAGCCACCAACAAAGCAGATACCGTTTCCAATGAATTGCCAACGTTATGCAATATAAATTTCACCAAATATGAACCATAGGCAACCACTAACTTCGCACGCAATTAACTGGAAATTTAAAAAGCCAATTGTGTAAAAATTGGCAGTTACAATTTTTATTTTTTATTATTTAGGGGGAGTTTAACCGAAAAAACTCAGTGCATCAAACTTATTGATGCACTTATGAATGCACTTAAGTATATTAGGCTTTTTTGAGTTCGACTCAAGTTCAGGCCCTGTTGCGGGCCCTAGCTTTAGCCACCAACAAAGCAGATACCGTTTCCAATGAATTGCCAATGTTATGCAATATAAATTTCACCAAATATGAACCATAGGCAACCACTAACTTCGCAGGTAATTAACTGGAAATTTAAAAAGCCAATTGTGTAAAAATTGGCAGTTATAATTTTTATTTTTTATTATTTAGGGGGAATTTAACCGAAAAAACTCAGTGCTTCATACTTATTGATGCACTTATGAATGCACTTAAGTATATTAGCCTTTTTTGAGTTCGAATCAAGTTCAGGCCCTGTTGCGGGCCCTAGCTTTAGCCACCAACAAAGCAGATACCGTTTCCAATGAAGTGCCAACATTATGCAATATAAATTTCACCAAATATGAACCATAGGCAACCACTAACTTCGCACGTAATTAACTGGAAATTTAAAAAGCCAATTGTGTAAAAATTGGCAGTTATAATTTTTATTTTTTATTATTCAGGGGGAATTTAACCGAAAAAACTCAGTGCTTCATACTTATTGATGCACTTATGAATGCACTTAAGTATATTAGCCTTTTTTGAGTTCGAATCAAGTTCAGGCCCTGTTGCGGGCCCTAGCTTTATAGCTTTAGCCACCAACAAAGCAGATATCGTTTCCAATGAATTGCCAACGTTATGCAATATAAATTTTACCAAATATGAACCATAGGCAACCACTAACTTCGCATGTAACTAACTAGAAATTTAAAAAGCCAATTGTGTAAAAATTAGTCATTTCGCGAAATATATCCAGTTGGAAAGTTTCTGAAATGTAAAGTTTATTTCTGTACTATCGGATTAAACAAATTGCTTCCTTCGGTTCATTTGATGAATAAAAATGCATCAACTGTTCTAACTCATTACTAATCGAATGTAAAAGCACATGGATAATAAACTGCCAAAGCAGCCTGCTTCAAAAGTGCCATCAAAAGTAGCTCTAACAATTGTGTCTTAAGTTGAAAAACAAAACCTTTGTAGTATTAAACTACGCTCGGCCGTGTGATGAACGCAGGAAACAGAAAAAAGGACTTGTATTTAAAAAAAACGCGAACTTTCGAACTTCAAAAAAAAAACATATCGCCTTAAAGCTCTTTGCATCTCAGAACAGTTTATCATGGACACTTTTTTGATTAAATCAACTCAATTTGAAAAAACTGGATCATTATGTAAAAATTTGATTCCGCTAGAAATTCTGAAAAACAAAATCCACTTTTGAAACTAAAAATTGATCACGTTATTACGCGCAATTTACGCTTTTGTAATTGGAGAGCGATTTTCCTTAAAAATGCAGGGCTGATATCCCAGGTGTTCAATCAAGCTAAAAACTGGCAAAAAAATCGAACTTAACGACAATTAAAAGCGCATTTAGCATCCTTTTATGCTCAGAAAATTTATGCTAAGAACATTGAGTAAAATGGCTCGTTTTTACAAGTCTCATAATAATATAGTGCAATTCCTAGTAACAATTTCCCAATTATCTAATAAAAATTTTCATTTCATTTTTAAAATAATTTAGAGACTAAAGGCAAAGAAGTCTGTGCTTCAGACGCAGTTTAACTCACCGTGTTGTTATTGGAGTCCAAAGAGAAAGGCAGATTTGCTTGTAGCGACGCAGACGAGTTGAACAACGCGGCCAAATTGCCGTTCGCCGCCGCCAAAGTCGCTGCCAGCAGCGCAGTTTGGTTCGGTTGTTGGTTGTTATACTGTGTCTGGCTAGTTGGAACCGCAAAGTTAGCCGGTTTCTCTAAATGTACGCTGGATTCCGACGACGCCATGTTTTGATTCGAACTATCCATTTTCTTTGCAAATATATCAACAAATTTGAGATGAGTTAAGTGATACAGTTCTCATTGACGTCTAGTTAAGAGTCCAATTTCGATATATCAATATAGACAATATAATACAGCAATCGATCTTTCAGGCTCCAATAAACATTCAATTCAATTCAATAACAGTGATTCGGTCGGTTTGAAATCGTTGAGTAACGGGTTTCTAGTTTCATGTCGATTTACAGCGCGATAATGAGAAAGAGCAGCAACGGAGTGATGACATTGGCAGACTCTGAAATGAATTGAGATTAGACAGAAACAGCAAGACTGCCTAGCCATGCAATAGTAAAACTGCCACCGTACAGGATCAGGGGCTAAGCGAACGCACATAGGCTACAAGCTCGAAAATTTTAACAATTGTGAATGGGAACAGGAAGAGTTGAATGGAATATACGTCTATGTGAAATAAGACCCATTAGCTCCCTCGGTATGTAACGGGAAATATAGGAAAAGGAGAGCAAGTTACCTGTATGGCTAAAATCCAACGCTGCAAGCGCTCTAAATGGAAACCCAAATATTTCCTTAATGGTTTAAACTGAAATCCCTTGATTGAAAAAGAAATCCTTTTACAGTGTTCCCAGCACTGTTTTCAGTTCCCAATGCAGCAGTGTTTAAAGGCAACAACCCACGTTAACAGGGCTTCACTGAAAATAAACTATTTCCAGATTAAATAGATGGAATCAAGAGGGCGTCCGCCTAAAGAACTGTAGATTGTTCCGACCAGGGTGTGCAATCCTAAATTGCATTTCAATATATTTCCTATTTTTTCTTGTTCAGGTATTCTCAATTTCTGAAAAAAAAAACTACAATTCACAAAGAAGAGCAATTATATGGACTGTTGGTACTGGTTGGAGACCTGTTTCAGAGATCCAGTGCCTAGCAGCCCCACTCCTCAAAAGAAGTTGAGGATACTTTCAGGATGACGTTGCAAGTCCGTGAAGCAGTGCGAGCTTCCTAGATGTTCTTCCTTTCCGGTGCGTTGCAAAAACTCCCCCTCTTGTCGTTTTTTTAATGCGTATGATGCTGTTCTACATTCGTGAGGTAGTTAACTTCCATTTGAATATGCGTGTCTCCTTTGATCAATTCTCTTGGGCCAGTCATCGCTGGTATTCTGTTTAATATCCACTGCCAGTCATGGCGAAGTCTGAGGTGTCTCTTGAACGCAACCAGTGGCGGCTCTGCTTGCTTCCACGAGAGGCCACATGATGGTCCTCGGGAGAAGACTTTAACCTGAAAGCAACTTTGCTCCTACTTCTGCAGGAGTTGTCTTTGAATACCGGCTTCAAATTGTGCCAAAGTCTCACGTATGTCTTATACAGTGATGAGATGTCGATGGCAATGAAACCCCAGTCTCATCCTGAGAGCGCTTTAATGTTGTTGTTCCGTTTGCTGATGGCTTTTGCGGGGTTTGTAGCATGAAGAGTAAAATACAGTTGAGGGTTCATTATTTCAGTTATTAATACATCTTTGCGTTTTTAATACATCTATTATACAGGTGGGTTTTTAATACATCTTTTATTTTATCTGTTATAATCAATATTAGTAGCAGAAGAGCAAAAAAATGTTTTTCAAGAGCCCACCGGCGCTCAGTAGTTCCTCGTCGTACGAGACTTGGAAAGTCAAAAAACAGATTTGGAACAAGGATAGCCGGTTACTGTGCAAGTAGCACAGAATGTTCCGACCATAGTACTTAGAAAACTACGGTTTAGAAAGTTTTTTTTTCCAAATTAGTGTAATTTTTTCTGCTTGGTGTGATAAAAGGATGTGACGTAAAAATATAAATTAGGCATATTAGACAGTCATATTTTTTTGCAAATTTTTTTCTTTCTTTTTTTTAAATTTGGTTCCCAAAATGAAGCGAAAAAAATCCAAAAACTATTTTACTTGCCTAAAATTAAGTTTTAAAGTCTTAAATTAGGCATAATTCAGCTTGTAAGCCTGCTCACTTGCTTTATTCGCGCGAATTAGGACGAAAAGTAAAATTTCAAACGGGTTTTTCTCGACACTGGAATTTTTTGGAAAATTTAATTGTGGTTCAAATCACGATTGAAAGGGCTTTAATATGATATATCACTCAACCCAGTCCGATCATTATTTGAGGTACCTGAATTTGCGGGGAAAACAAAAGCAAAAAAAAACTAGAACACATCCGAATACAAGTTCCTCTACATTTTCAATGGTCGGAACAATAACCTAACCGAAATAACGGCAGAAAAAATAACGTTAGTTATTTATTACCCTTCTCTTAACAGGCAGAGCTAGAGACGCAATTACTCAGATTGGGGCAATTTCAACGATCATAACGGCGGTACCGCCCTCTTGGCCGCCGGTCTCGACATGTTACTTGAGAACGATTAAATAGAGTTGTGGTATTCTGCCTATTCCTAGTTCAGTCCATCCAATCGAAGAAACGAATATAAACACAGAGACGAAGCTGAGCTTCGCACCACTTGCGATATAAATACGAATTACTATTAAAATCAAACGGAAAAATGAAAAAACCTTAAAAAAATACCGTTTTAGTCAATCAAAATTGCAACTAAAGCCCAAAATATCCGGAGCAAAATTGCCTGCACTATTGGAAACTCTGAAAAAACCTTTGGGAATGCTATAAAGAAAGCAAGTTTTCAAAAAAGTCTTTTCTGCGGAACTAAGCAGACAAAAAAAGCAGACAGACCATAATCTAAATTAGCCAAGAATCGAACTCCCGGGCTTTGTCGTCTAAATCATTGGAGTTACAGCAACTTGGAATAAAGCAACCCCATTGTGGCATGTGATATAATTTGAACTCGATAAACTCAATTAACTTTCAACAAAGTTACTAAAATGGGTATAAGACACCAACTTTACAGATACATTCCACAAAGATCCGCATATGCTACAGCTAACCTCAGAGAGAGAGAGAGTGCCATGTGCTGCTAAAACTAGACTACATGGAGAACTGAACATATTCCCAAACCACCTGTTATAAGCTGAATTATGATTAAGATGATTATATCTTTTAATTTAAGAATTTTTGTTGTTGTTGTTATTGAAAAACATTTGATATCTACACTCGACCTCAAGTTCAGAAAACTTTAATCGTCAAATAACTTTGTCTTCTGGTCAACTAAAGCACACATGTGAAATTCGTTAATATTTAAAAATATTGTATGTAATCTTGCCTAAAATGAACAATTATTGTCAAAATGAAATGCAATAACCAAAAGGAGAATCTTATGCTATTTATTATTGGAAAAGAAAAGTAGTATTAAAAGGAGCTATAAAATACCGATAACTGTAGTCACTGTTGTAAACCGAGAGGGTGATTTATCTTAGACCAGTTGTTCCATTCTTCGAGCCGCGCATTTTCTGAAGCCCTCACTTGCTTTGGTCACATCCTAAACCTTAAAAGAGAGGTGAGACCAATATTAATACAGAGTCGTCACATAGCAATGAAGGTCAATCGTGCAGCAATGAATAACTTCGATATCTAAAGAGGTGATAAAGAGAATGTCTTGCAGAGAAAACTTGCTTCCTATCCTACCTCAGAGCCTTTACGTGGCGGATGGGATATCCAATACCCAGGAGAAAATCGGAGTCCAAGAACCTTCGGCAGTTCAACGGGACCTGCCAGCAGCAGTATTTTTGGCGAAGCGCCCTGGTAACCCCGCATACCAGTGGCTCATCCTCCTGACTTCCGGATACATCGAGACCAACCCCGGCCCTATCAGATGGCCTAGCGGGAAGTGTGGACGATCCGCAACGTTCGACTCGATCCGATGCGGAGATTGCAGACAGTGGACGCACAGAACCTGCCTGGGTCTGAGCCAGAAGGAGTTAAGAGTGGGAACACTGGCGTTGGCACTGCGGGTGCAGAGAAGAAACCTCCGGCACCAGCAGCCCCTGTGGCTACAACAGCCCCAAAGAAGACCAGCTCCAGAGAAGATGAGAATCCTCCAGATCAATATGAATGGTTGGCGCTCCAAGGCAGCGATTTTGGACAACCTTGCAGGCGAGACCAACACAGATGTCATTTGTATCCAAGAGACGAAGCTCTCGGACGAAGACGCCACCAAGTACCCCGGGAGCAACTGGACCAAGTTCCTTTTTTCCAGGAACGTCCAGAGTCGCGGCGGAAAGCATATGCCAAGGAGGCATAGCCACCCTGGTCAAACCTGGAGCCAAGTGTTCCAGGTTACCGGTGACTCTTCCTCCCGATAGCGCGCTGGAGCTCCTGGGTGTCAGAATTCACCACCAAGGCGACACCCACACGGACGTCTGGAACATCTACCGCCCCCTGCCAAAGGAGTCGCGGACATTAGAGACGCCGGCATCCAGCTGCAAATCTGGCCGACAGACAAATGCAGCATAATCTGCGCCGATGCCAACGCGCACGGATCGTGGGACCGCCCGGAAACCACGGACCACGCGGGGGAATAAATCGACGACTGGGCCATCGACAAGAAGATGTATATCATCAACCAAGACGCTCCCACCCGCACGAAGAGCGATGGCACCTGCACAGCCCCGGACATCAGCGTCGTGCCCACGAGACCGATCCTTCATGTTGCCGAAGAGGAATCAGCCAGGCTCTTTAACAAGATCGAAAACCTGGACCCGAGCCACTACCTCGCGCACATGACAACAGACGCCCCCCGACGAAGACTGAAAGCGCACGGAACAGGAGACTTTCACCCCTGCTTCAGAACAACAGCCAAGAACCGACTTATCGGCAGCACGGATGTGAAAAAAGTGCTCAAAGACCAAAGAGAACCGCGGTTCTTAGAACACTACCTGCTGAAAACCGATCCAGAGTCAATACACAGAAGAGCTACAGGCGGTGAGTTCCTGGAGTCAGTCACAGGCAGATCGAGGACCGAAGAAACTACCTTACACCGACTGAACCGCCACATACCACTGAAAGCAACAAAACACAGACACGGAAGCACTGCGAGACCGAGGACGAAAAAGGCACTGAGCATTTCCTCCTCTAATGCCCACGATGGGAGGCCGAGAGAAAGACCTGCCTCGGCAATCAACCGGACTTGAAACTGCTGCAGACGGCCCCCGAGAACGTGCTGAAGTTTGTCCAGAAGACTGGGCTTTTCTAGCCCCCTATTTCAAGATAAAAGGCCGTCACACACAACAACAGACAACTTGCTTCGGAAGAATTACATCAGTCTGAGAAGTCTCACTAAAAGGAGCGTTAAGTTCGTTTACTTCAAACCGGGGACCGAGCTTTTACCAGACCGGCCGTTTACTAGAAAATTTAAAAAGGATCTTACACCAGAATCGATAACCAAATTTGATGACAGATGTAATGACGCCGTTTAATCTGGTTAAAGACAAAGATTTCACGGTTTCTCAGCAAAGTTTTGTTTGTTTTAATCGCTTCTTTTTCGAATCTTCCTTTAATTTTGCTC